AACCTTTGTAAAAAAACAAATTCATTTATGTGATGAATGATAAAGGTCTATCTAGTAATGTTTTGAGTTTTTATGTTACATAAGATTTACTAGTGGTTAAATAGAAGAATCAGTACTTTTTACATAATTGAACTTTTGATGCAATCATCGACTTTGTTTTTCTTGTGGGTGATGTTAATTATATAAATGTTTTTATTTTCATGCAATTTTGATACATGTATTTATTTATTATTATATTGGTTTTAAATAAATAATTGATTACGATTGATCATTGTTGTAGTGATAGGATTTAAGTGAGAGATACGATAAATTAATTAAAATGTATAAAAATGGTAATTGATATAATATAAATTAAAAATAAAATAACTATTTGAATAAAAGGTAAAAAGATTATATTTATTAAGATTTTAAAGCATGAATTGTGAAAATATATCAAAAAGCATGACTAATTATAGTTAAAAACTAATAAATTGAACATCTATCTCTTGTTATGGGAGAAAAGTAAATGTAATGGAAGAACATTTAAATTTTGTATACATATAACCAAATAATTTAAATCATATTAAATGAGCATAATTATTAGTGTATACTTATATAAAGCAAGTGGAAATAAAGATGTTGTTTTTGTTGAATTATTAAACTAAAAATAAAAATAGTCACTAATTAATAAAAAATTTAAAAAATAATTTCGACAATAGTTAGAATATAAATATTAAATTATAAAAAAGTATATATATATATATATATATATATATATATATATATTTATTTTCCTTCCAATTTATCTTTTTATATTCTCTATCTTTCATATTATTTCATATATAACATGAATGAGTCAAAAGGATTCTTTTCCCATCAACCTCAAGTCATTTCTTTGCGTGATGATAAAAGTAAAAAATAGAAAAAACAAAGTCAAAACAAAATTATTTAAACTTGATATAAAATTATACTTATTATTAATAATATATATATGGGTTTGATAACCCACCGTACGTTTGTTATTTAGTTGGTACATTTTTAGTAATGTGTATCGAATTTTAGTGACAAAAATATCTTTATATATCATAGATTCTAAATCTGAAGGTTAAGAGTATTTTAATAATTTTCATTCTCAAAACTAAAAAAAACCCAACTCTTACTCACCTATCTATTCTTGTCAACTCTTTCTCTTTCTTCTCTCTCACTCCAACGCAAGTGTTTCTGATTTTTTCAATTTGGACTAAAGGGATGGCAGAGAAAAGGTTGGAGTGAGAGATGAAAGATAAAGGATGAAGAGAAATGAGATAGCTTAGTAAGAGTTTGAGGGTTTCTTTTTTTTTAGTTTTGAGAATGAAAATCATTAAAATACCTTTAACCTTAAAACTTAGAATCCATGATATATAAGATATTTTTGTCTATTAAAACTCGGTACACATGGCTAAAAACAGGCCGTTAGGAGACCATATATATATATATATATATATATATATTATTCTTTAAATATTTATATATTTGTCGTAACTTTCAAATTAAAATCGTGTTGGTACGTAGATAATACCATGTAGACAGACAATGATAGTTCCGCCACCTGTCACTCTCTGGGACCCTCTGTGACATGTCAAAGGCTAATCCACTCACAAGATTTGCCCAAACAAATGAGTCTTGTTCGCTACTTTGCACCGTTTTCGCAACAATTATTGTAAAATTATATAATTAGTTTCACCTCGAAATTTACGCATTTACCCTTCAGTTTTATTTCGTATGCATGGAAGTAAAACATTTGAGCATAATAAAGTGCTATATTAAGTGTAGCTTTCGGAAAAAATTTCAAACCAATTTTTTTTCTATCGAATTATATTATTAGATCAATCATGATATTATTAGGGATTAGTTATAATATTTTAGTTATAATTTATTTTGAAGTTTGAAAAGTGTATTTAAACTTATATTGACTTCGTGATGTGAGTTTATTGGGTCATAGGATAAAGATGTATTTAAATTATTTTTAGATACATTATCCTTTTTAGAGCATGAAATTCTGTCACACTTTTGTTCTTAAAAGACATCTCAGAGGATTGTTGATGGAAAGAGTATTTAAACTGCTATTGATCTTGACTTCTAAGCGATGTGAGACTATTGAGTATGACAAAACAATCCTTAATTGAGGGCTAATGGAGTTTATGTCCCCACAGATGTCATCAATGTTTTAATCTTAAGCCTATTGATTGACATTGCTAGAGTCAATCCTCATGTATGAGGTATTGTACGCTTTGAAGCCTGAAATTGTCACCATTTTATCCTTGAAAGGCATATCAAAGGGTTGAAGGAGGAATAGATATTTAAATTACCCTTGGCCTCGACTCCTAAGCGATATGTGATTTTTGGGTGTACCGAAAGAAGCCCTAGTCAAGGGCTAAGGGAATTTTTTGTTCTCACAGACGACGCCAATGTTATGATCCCAAGTCCGTCGAATGATATTGTTAGGATTAATCATTGCATTTAAGGTATTTTCCGCTTTAGAGTTTGGAGCTTCGGCACAATTCTGTCCTTGAAAGATGTCAATGTTCTAGTTCCAAATCCATCAAGTGACATCATAAGGTTAATCACTGCATTCAAAGTAACATCACTTTTGAGCCTAGAGCTGCTATGTAGTTTTGTCTTTAAAAGGAGTCTTAAAGGATTGAAGGAGGAAAGAGTAATAAACTGCTCTTGGTCTCGACTTTTAAGCGATGTAAGTCTATTGGGTGTACTAAAACAAGTCTCCAATTGAGGACTAAGAGGATTTTCGTTTCCATAAATGACGTTAATGTTCTTATTCCAAGTTTATCAACTAATATCATTAAAGTCAATTATCGTCCCCAATTAAGGCTTAAAGAAGTTCGCCCCATGAATACTAAATATTCTTACAAAAAAAATCATAAATCTTCTATGAAGAGATAGAATAATAATCTATAAATAAAACTAAAATAGAGTTGTGGATTCTCTCCATCCAAGCTAGAGAATAATATTAAATAAATACAATATTCTCGTAATATTTTGTAATATATACATATTATTCATTGTAATAAACACGATTGTAATATATAATAAAATATTACATTATATAGTAAATACAATTATCAGTACAATATACCATCCATATCATTAAATCTGATATTATATATATATATATATATATATATATATATATATATATAATATAATATTAAATGGAGCATAATGTATTGATGAATTATATTACTAATCTATAATTGGTTAATCAATAATATTATTAATTAAAAGGAATAATAACTTTCAATCTTATATACTTTTTTATATTTATTTCATATTTTCTTTTATGTTTACTTACTTTGACCATAGGAAATTATTAGTGGATTTCTTTTTTTAGTTTTATTTCTTTTATCTCCTGCATCACTTTGAGGGAATCACCCTAGTGAAAATCATTACATTTATCAAAATATAAATTAAAAGAAAATGTGTTTTAACATGTTATAGTAATTGTTTTAATTCCATAATAAGTATTAATAAAAAATAATATAATTTTATAAATGTACCATTGTTCAATTTCTAAGATTAAACTACTCATCTAATTATAATATATTATTCAGATAGAACGTATTATTGTACTGGTTAATAATAATAATGCCAGCTATTATTCACATAATACAATAATATAATGTTTAATAACACATTTAATATCTATCATTACTCAAAATACGTCAATCTTTTAATAAATTATTGAATTAAAATAGTTTGATTTTAAAATAGAACAATTAATTTAGTTTTTTACATGCTATTGATGTTGTTTATAAATTTAGTTATCATGATGACATGAATCCTTGTTTCATCGTAAAGCAGAAGAATGACATGTCATTTGATAAGATCTTATAATTCGTAGAGAACAATTTGATTTCCCCGACATAATGAATTAGTTTCCATACCCACCAATCCACCATCATAGTCATAGCTCTTGCATCTCATCTAACCATCTATCACTTTATCTTAATATCTTTACCAACCAATCTACTTCTATATAGTACAAAATACTTTTAATTTTTAAAATTTTAATATGTAAAAACATTAAATCTAAATCACACAATTACTTATGAAAAATCAAAATCAAATTTATTGAATAGTTATTTAACTATTTAAAATATTATAGCTATTTTTGCTAAAATTAAACAATTTGAAACAAGTATAGTTATATGATCTATGTGATTTGGAAAATCACTTTTGAGATAACATTATTAAGTAAAAGTTAAAAGATAATTTTTCTTAATAGAACTAGTGTAAATAACCATGTGTGTGCAGATAACATGAATCATAGTAAATTTTGAGCACGCAATTGCTAGTGATGTTTTAAGTTGTCATAGAATTGATAGCTTTTGTCATATTAAAAAGGCACGTATACAACACCTTTGAAACGGTGTTTAGAAAATTCTTCGCAATGGTGTACTCTTTAATATATAATATTAAAACTTTTTTTTTTGCATGTTGAAGTGTACGACACTGCGTAAACTTTTAAATAAAAGAAACTATGCAAATTGTAAAGGACTTAAAAGCAAAACATGACATTAGTCAGATACTATGGGCACCACAGAAAAACAAAAATACCATTTCTGACAGATGCATTCTACAATACCATACATTAGCATAGTAATTACTCGTAAAAAAATAAGTAGTACAAATTAATGTTATGAGATAAATAATAAATTATCATGGCTGGATTTAATAAAAAAGAATAAATAAAATAAGAAAAAGTAAAGTGGTTTGTGAAAACAACAACGAAACCACTGCAAGGTTAGCTGTACTAATGCACTGTTTCTCTCACGGAAACAGAGGCACTGATTTTACCTTAAATCTTAAAATTTTCAACAGCATGCTTTACGAACATAGCACGATGTCCATTTTATTTTCCCATTTATTATTTTTAATTTGCTAAGATTATCATCACTTTCTGATATTTATGACTGGCTAACCCTTTTTCATTTTTTCACTATAAAAGGGGCTTCCCAACCCACCACTCTTCACCATTGAATTCACCCATTTCATTTGCTATATTGAGATATTTTCGTTTCTTCTCTTTCGTTTCTTTTCTTCACTTGCTTCTGTCATTGCATTTGCTTTGTTCATTTCTCTGTGTGTTGGCATTTCACATTCAAGGTGAGTAAATCATACTACAAAGTCAAACTCATTTTCTTTTGTTTTTCGTTATCGTTTTCATGGCAGAATATCTACCTCACCCCAGATAAAATCTCTGCACCTTATCCCCTCCACCATACCCAGTTGTCCATTAGTATTTCGTAGTGTTATTTCTGTGGGATCTCATCACATGCAGTGTAATGCAGAACACTAAGGGGTCAATGTGTTCAAACAAAAAACTGGGCTGGGCCAGATTTTCATTAACCACTACTACAGCAAAAGTAACCATAGCTTCTAGGTAATAGTGTATGTACCGACACAAAGTTATTGCTTGATCATATCAACAATGCACCCACCCCTATGTTCACCACAGATAAGATCGAAGGGAATAAAACTATCATAATAAAGATTCAAGTTCGGATTTTAACCCAGAAAAAAACAGAACATAAGTACATTATGCAGATAAGCTTGAATCAGTTCACCCACAATAATATTTTTCCTTTCATTAAATAAAATGTACGTTAGTCAGTCACGTGAGGATAAAAAGATGAGACTAATCTGATGTATGTCCAAAATATTGAAGATACGTGTAGAATATAATTTATATACGTTATGTATTTACACATTTGTCCTTGGTAGAGAGAGAAAGTCTTTGACCTTTTTGGAATTTGTTGAAAATTGTTTTTTTTTTTTAATTTTATTTTTGTTCTTCTCTCTTTGTGTTTGGCGCTCATTGCCTATAAATTAGCACTTCCTCCACTTCATGTATCATTCATTCATTTCGTCTTCTCCTTCCCCCTTCATTTTTTGCGTTCATTCTATTTCCGTATGTGTTCTTTTCCTCTCTCTCTGTTGCTTTTCTCTCTTGTTTTTGTTATTCTGTTCATCTTCTTTCCTTCATTGCCTTCCCCTTTTGGGCGTTCCACACTGCCACGTTAGCTTTCACTGTGTAAGATCTAGCATGGTGATTGTGTTTCAGCCATTGGATCAGAGTCTGTGACATGATCCTTGGTCTCCAGTACTTTCTGTTTTCTTCAAGAACATGTTGGAGAGTTTTATAATTCTGTTCTGAGATGCGGTCTTTGATGAGCTATGGCTCAGTTTCTTTGGAATTTCCATTCTCAAGCTTGGTTTTTTGTGACAGTTCAGCTGTTTTGTTGGATTCCCTTTCTAGATTAAATAAAATTACATACAGACGAAAATAAAAATAAAAGAAATTATTTTTCTCAGCAGAGTGACCCTGAACTAAGAGATCTTCTTTATCTGCAATGATTAATTTAAAGTTCGAACACTTAGTTTAAACGAGGTGCAGGATCTGTGCTGTGATAGATGTTTTTTTGGACCCGAGGTAGGGGAGGGAGGGTACCTGTAGGATTTGAAATGCAATACACTATTCTAGAGGAAGCAAGAATTCCACATTGTTTTGGTTTTTGACTTTTGGAGACTAACCTTATCCTTTTTATGGTGGCTTGTTGCATACGATTCTAATCAGTTTCTTTATGCTTTTCTTTTTGTTGTTGCAGTGAAGTTTGGCCCCTGAAGATATGGCGCATCATCCTTTGACGCACTCTCACTCTTTCCGCGAGAGGATTGATGAAACTCTCTCGGGTAACAGGAATGAAATTTTGGCCCTTCTGTCAAGGTAGATCATCCAAAACTAAAAAAAAGAAAAAGAAAAAACTTGTCTATTAATAATTAGCTTCAGTCCAAGGATGTAAAATGACACTGGCAATCTTGCTGTGATAAAAGGCTTGAAGCCAAGGGCAAGGGAATCCTGCAACACCACCAGGTCATTGCAGAGTTTGAAGAAATCCCTGAGGAGAACAGGAAGAAGCTGCAAGATGGAGCCTTTGGAGAAGTTTTGAGATCTACACAGGTAAATTTTTCCCTATTGGTACTTTCTTTATCTGGGGTGTTACGTCCAAGATATGTTTTGTGCGCTTTTGTCGTAAGCTTTATTTTTTTCATTTTATTGGTTTTTGTTGAGTAGGAAGCCATAGTGCTGCCACCTTTTGTTGCTCTGGCTGTTCGACCAAGGCCTGGTGTTTGGGAGTATCTACGTGTGAATTTGCACATGCTTGTCGTTGATGAGCTACGTCCTGCTGAGTATCTGCGTTTCAAGGAGGAACTTGTTGAGGGAACGTAAGTTTTAGAGTTTTTTGGTACTCACTCTGTTGTTGTGCACGTCAAGACAATTTAACAGTTTCTCTCCCTCTTGATGCAGTGCTAACGGGAACTTTGTGCTTGAGTTGGACTTTGAACCATTTAATGCCTCTTTCCCTCGTCCAACTCTGAACAAGTCCATTGGGAATGGCGTGGAGTTCCTCAACCGCCATCTTTCAGCCAAACTCTTCCATGACAAGGAGAGCATGCAGCCACTGCTTGAATTCCTCAGGCTTCACAGTTACAAGGGCACGGTATACTTCTTTTTAACTGTATTTCGGAGTTTTCAATTGTTCAAAATATTTGGCTCTAGACATAGTTGGATATCCTCATCCATGTTTTAATTTAGACTTTGGAACTTGTGAAAAATCTAACGATAAATGTAACTTTTCTATGTAAAAGACGATACGCGTTGATCATTCCTTTACAGTTTTATTTTGACAAGTTTTCTTTGATCGTAATTAAAATTGTATTGTTTTTTTGTTACAGACTATGATGCTGAATGACAAAGTTCAGAACCTGAATTCTCTCCAACATGTTTTGAGAAAAGCAGAAGAGTATCTAACTTCTGTTGCTCCTGCAACGCCCTACTCAGAATTTGAAAGCAGATTCCAGGAGATTGGTTTGGAGAGGGGATGGGGTGACACCGCCGAGCGGGTCCTCGAGATGATCCAGCTTCTCTTGGATCTTCTAGAGGCACCTGATCCTTGCACCCTTGAGACATTCCTTGGAAGAGTCCCTATGGTCTTCAATGTTGTAATCCTTTCTCCCCATGGTTACTTTGCCCAAGATAATGTCTTGGGATACCCTGACACTGGTGGGCAGGTTAGCTGAGTTGAGATAACATTTTACTAATTTTCATACCAATTTGGTAACTATTAAGGTTGTGTGACATGTTTTAACTTGTTCATTCTCTAATCCAGGTTGTTTACATCCTGGATCAAGTTCGTGCCTTGGAGAATGAGATGCTCAACCGCATCAAGAAACAAGGCTTGGATATCACTCCTCGTATTCTCATTGTATGTTCTAGTGTTGTTGTTAAGACAAGTTAACTTGGGGAAATTTCTCTAACTTGAGCCTCTGATTTCTCTTTAATGCAGATCACTCGTCTCCTCCCTGATGCAGTAGGAACAACCTGTGGCGAACGTCTAGAGAGGGTATATGATACTGAATATTGTGACATTCTCCGAGTTCCTTTCAGAACAGAGAAGGGAATTGTTCGCAAATGGATCTCGAGATTCGAAGTCTGGCCATACCTAGAGACTTATGCTGAGGTGAATTTTAACTTTTTGCTCAAAACTGTTACACGGTTCAATGGTGTTGATGTTTCATTTTAAAGTAACTTCCAATCCAACTACGTTCCTTGTCAATATTAGGATGTTGCTGTTGAACTTGCTAAGGAGTTGCAAGCCAAGCCAGATCTGATTGTTGGAAACTACAGTGATGGAAACATTGTTGCCTCTTTGTTAGCACATAAATTAGGAGTAACTCAGGTTTGTCTATATGGACACCTACTTTGTAGTTAATGTTGGATAAACCCTTTTTTTGAACTTTATTCTGGAGCCTGATAAACCTTTTTCTTTAATCCAATGATAAATGCAGTGTACCATTGCTCATGCTCTAGAAAAGACCAAATACCCCGAGTCTGACATTTACTGGAAAAAATTCGAAGAGAAATATCACTTTTCATGCCAATTTACTGCTGATCTTTTTGCAATGAACCACACAGACTTTATCATCACCAGCACCTTCCAAGAGATTGCTGGGAGGTGAGCTATCTATTCCTTTTATTTACTATGTTTTGAATGCACTGTTTTGATTACCTCACTGAAATTAACTCATGCATATGCATTGTTTCTTCTGCAGCAAGGATACTGTCGGACAGTACGAGAGTCACACTGCCTTCACCCTTCCTGGTCTTTACCGAGTTGTTCACGGTATTGATGTCTTTGATCCAAAGTTCAACATTGTCTCTCCAGGAGCTGATATGGGCATATACTTCCCATACACTGAAACTGAGCGTAGGTTAACAAATTTCCACCCTGAGATTGAAGAGCTTCTTTACAGCTCAGTGGAGAACGAGGAACACATGTAAGTTTCTTTTCCTTGTTCCTTCAGCTCCCCACACCTATCCATGACATTGACTTCATAACATGGATCAACACATTGTTGTCAGCTAAAAGACAAAATCCTTAGAGAAACTATGTCTTTATCATCTCCCAATTGGTTAGAAAGTACCTTTCCCCATTGATTAATGCAATGCTATTGTTGTAACAGATGTGTATTGAAGGACCGCAACAAGCCAATCATCTTCACCATGGCAAGACTTGACCGTGTGAAGAACATCACAGGACTTGTTGAGTGGTACGGAAAGAACGCTCGGCTCCGGGAGTTGGTCAATCTAGTTGTTGTTGCTGGAGACAGGAGGAAGGAGTCGAAGGACTTGGAAGAGAAGGCTGAGATGAAGAAGATGTATGGCCTCATCGAGACCTACAAGTTGAATGGCCAATTCAGATGGATCTCCTCTCAGATGAACAGAGTTAGAAATGGAGAGCTCTACCGTGTAATTTGTGACACAAAGGGTGCTTTTGTGCAGCCTGCAGTTTATGAAGCCTTTGGGTTGACAGTGGTTGAAGCCATGACTTGTGGATTGCCAACATTTGCCACATTCAATGGTGGTCCTGCTGAGATCATCGTGCATGGAAAATCTGGATACCACATTGACCCCTACCATGGTGACCGTGCTGCTGAGATCCTTGTTGACTTCTTTGAGAAGAGCAAAGCAGACCCATCTCACTGGGACAAAATCTCCCAGGGAGGACTCAAGCGTATTCAAGAGAAGTATGCACATTGCATGATGAAAAATAGTATAAATCAATGTTCATACATAGACAGTGTATTTAAGCTTTCTGTTTTTCTCCCTTTGCTGCACAGGTACACATGGCAGATTTACTCAGACAGGCTCTTGACACTGACGGGTGTCTATGGCTTCTGGAAGCATGTCACCAACCTTGAACGCCGTGAGAGCAAACGTTACCTCGAGATGTTCTATGCTCTCAAGTACCGCAAATTGGTATGTTTCTTCTCTCATTCCACAGTTGATTCAATGCTTTCACTTACGAACTAGATTTCATGTTTGAGCTCAACTTACTAATGAATTATGTGATTCTTGTGATCTCAGGCCGAGTCTGTTCCCCTTGCCATTGAAGAGTAAAATCATTGTTGAAGAGAAAATCGATGGAGAAACCGGCTTTTCGTCTTTTGGAGCTTTCATAAATAACGCCATTGATTTTGATTGTGATAAGCTTTTCGATTTGAAGAGTCTAAAAAGAGTGTCTTTGTTTTGATATCTTGCTTAGGTTCTGGGTCAGAAAAAAATGTCATTTTTATTCTTTATTGTCGTTGCAACATTGAATATGATTGGAATCTTTGAATTTGGGTGTTCATCCCCATCAATTCAACTTAAAGACGTGCCTTCTGCAATTCAATCTCAATGCTTATTGCTCTACAGTTCCCCCTCAACTTCACTTTTATCATTTTCTTGTTCTGGTTTTTGGACCAGTCTCACGATTCTCACTTCCAACATGTAAGATATTTTAATGGAAACTAAAAAAACAATTAATCTACTTTTTCTAATTTGGATTAGAGCTTGATTATGTTTTAATCTGACAACATATTATCTTTATAATTCCAGACCTATAATTGGAAAGTATAAAAGTAAGTAATTCCGATTAGCAAATATTGTATTCATTTAATGATCTTGAATTTGATCAATGTAACAAATCAGAAAAAAAAGTTATAAACAAAGGAAAAGATGAGAAGCTAGTAAAAATATGTATGGTGGGATCATGTGTTGTTGAGAATCTCATTTTGTGATTGGCAGGTTTTGGTAAAAGTCGAAGTCTTCCTATATTACTTAACTTTGAGAATAAAATAATGGAATTGACAAGGTTATGGTAGATGAGTTATGAAAGTCGCAATCCACATATATTACTTTGGAATTAGAAGTGATGTAGTGTTGGGTGATGTACGTTACACGTCGTGTGGTTGTGAGTGATTAAGACTTGTTTGGGCATTGAGGTTTTCAGCTTTTTAAGGTGGCTGGTACAATCTTATTCTGATGGAGAAATAAAGCAAACATGTTATTCTTGCTACTTCTCAATTCAGTTAAATGATGCTGTAACTTTCTCCTTTTCTTTTTTAAGAGAAGATATAAAAGGATAAACTCATGAATTTGCTTGGGCAGACAAGTGTACTAATAAGTGCTTTTACAACTATGGAGGTGTACTTTTTCAGTTTCTTCCTCCACCCATATATTTTAAAAAATCTTTTTTTACTCTTTACAGAATATAAAACCCGAAAATTGTTTCCTGAAAGTGTTAAAATTAAATTTTGGATTATAATTCAAAAATAATATTTTATTAATAAAATGTTTTTAAATTGCACAATTCAGAAATTAAAAATGATTTTTCAATTGTGCAATTCAAAACCTATTTTCTTTTGTTTTTTATTTTTGAATTGCATAATCTAAAAATAGTTTTTGTTTCAGAATTGTGTAATTTGGAAGTCTTCTCATAAGAGAAAAAATAACTTCTGGACTTTCATAGTATAATTTGAAAAGACAAAAATGGAATTTTATTGTATATAACAGTGTAGAGAGCAATTTATGGAGTGCTGGAAGAAGCTACCGTGTAGTCATAAGTAATGACAACAAAAACATGAGGGTCCAAACAACTCTAATTTGGTAACTATTTTGGGCAGCTTGTTGTTGGGCTGAAACTACCTGCACCCCATTTATGTTTCTTCTACACTCCTATAAAATTTATAATCTCCATTATACCCTTCAATTAAATAATATTAAAAACCCTAACTATTTAATTTATAATCTCCTATTCCAAATCACCATCACGTCCTCATCTTTAAATCATCCTTACCTTCCTCATCTCCAAATCATCAATTTTCCTTTATTTTCTTTCATACCGCATCACATAAATCCTGCGTTATAATAATAGAAATGTAAAAATGTGGAGTAAGCATTATGGATTAATTATTTCAAGGAAGACTTATGTTTTTTATATTTCGAAATTAACGTTCTGAAAGGTATTTTTGAATTTGGAATTAATTTTCAAAACATATATTTTGGAAAATTTTCTGAATGACGATTTCAAAAGGGATTTTTGGATCGAAAATATATTTCAGAATATAAAAAAAAATCCGAAATAAGTGTTTCGGAAGTCATTTTTAAATTTAGAAGTCATTTTCAGATTTGGAAATCCATTTCGGAATACCCTTTTGGAATATATTTTTTTATACTAGATTGGATGTTCTATTTAGAAATATCTTTTTGATCAGTCATTCTAAATAAACAAAATTCAGAAAGGATATTTTAGAATAGATTTCTAGGTTCAAAAACACCTGTTTTGTTTTTATTATAGATGGGATGTTCTAGAATAAAAAAAATAATTCCAGAATAAGTGTTCCGAAAGCTATTTATAAATCCAAAAATACATTCCAAAATTTTCTAAACAATTCTACAAAATAGTTTCCAAAATAATCTAATCATGGTTGGCTGAAGAACTTATGAACTTTCACACTCTTTGATTCACAAAAAAGATGAAAGAAATGCAATCGTAGTATTCAAATTGGAACCAAGTACAGCTATTTAGACACAATTGCAATTCAATATCACAGTTAAGGGTTGGCATAAAGTCTCTCAATAGATTTTCTTATTTAAGTTGCAAAACTGTATCTTCCCAAGTGTTGAAATTGTTTGTTCTCTTCACACTTTTGCAAGTGTCCACTTAGTTTTTGTGTTTCATTTTCAATTACCTTATACACATATTTTGGCAAAGATCACTAGGTCTTTTGGGCTTGTAACGTGGTTGAGTACACCTCTCATTGACTTGATTTATTGCACTCTTTTTCTGTTTAAGCTGTCTCAATTCAATTTTCTTTTTGGTTGCTTTCTGCATTTTTTTGTTCCTTTCCATCCACTTCATGGCTTACCATTTCCCTTCATGGTACACACATATTTGTGGCACCTTCTTATAAGTAAGAAAGGTTGGATTACCTACATTCTAGGCCCCTGTTGCCTCTTCTTTGCTAGAAGGTTGTTCACTTCCTTCTTCTCGTACATAAATAAGTCTTATTCAATTTATAAAATAAAAAGAAAGAGCCAAAAATACACCTAAAAGGGATAAAAGAATGCATGAAAATAGTTGAACAAACATTATTCAGAATTCACACCAACCAAACTGCAAAGTCCAAATGCCAAGCTTTCATGTTGCCCACTTTCCAATTCCCAATTCTTAATTTCATCACTTATCTTATGACCATTTCACCCTTCTCTCTCTCCCTTTTAATACCTCTTCACGTTCTCACAAACCCATTCTCAAAACTCATACCATAACAACGACAACATCATCATTCTCCAAGCTCCAAATTCAACCATGTCCAAAGGAGGAAAACTAACCAAGCTGAAGTCAGTGCTCAAGAAATGGAACTCCTTCAGCAGCAAACAGACCCAAGCCACCATCACCTCCGTAGCCAGCGACGGTGACTCCTCGTCGCTCCGCCCCGTGTACGTTGGGAAGACGCGGCGGCAGTACCTGGTGAGCGCGGAGGTTGTCGGACACCCGCTGTTCCGGGAGCTGGTGGACAGGTCCCGCGACAGCAGCTCGGAGGAGGAGGAGGACAGCATCAACGTGGCGTGCGAGGTTGTTCTGTTCGAACACTTGCTCTGGATGCTCCACAACGCCGATCCTCAACCTGAGTCGCTGGACGAACTCGCCGATTTTTACGCCTGCTGATTGTTCATGCCTCGGTAACACATGAGAGCGTGCAAGTGAAAACGTTTTTCAAATTAAATTGCCACTGTAATTGTGAATTTGTGCTTGTGTATGCTGTTGATCTTCGTCAACCATAACAAAATATTTTAATTTTAACAATCATAGATATGAGAGATTGTCAACCTCCACAAAATATGTGAATGATTTTTTGTTCTGAATTTTCCTCAAGTTCACCGAATAATAAAACTAATAATAAATGGAAGAACAATAATAAAAGCAAACTAACAGATTTTATTTTACTGTATTATCTACTATTCTAGAATGTATATATATATATATATATATATATATATATATGTATGTATGTATGTATGTATGTAAATAAAGAGGATTTGATGGTGACGATATGCCAAATTAATTGCTGAGTTCATCTAAATGAGTTAGTTTAGTCCCCAAAAATAAAAAAAAAAAATACATAGTACTTTTATTTTTAAATTAAGTTTTTTATATTCACAAGTGCTTTTTTATTGTTTTTATTAATGATTAAGAGTTTTTACTTTTTTTAAAAAGTAAAGAGTATTTTAAGATTAATTATATATTAAAAGTAAAAGGTAAAAATCTCAATTTGGAGCCCCATCATGTCACCACCATTAAATAAGTAAGAGGCACGGAGAACAACCCTGTCAAAATTATAGGCCATAAATGGTTTAATAAAAAAATTTGAAGTGGTTCAATTTCCATGTGAATAAACAAAACGAGTAGCAAAAAATATTGTTTGTTATTTTTATTTTGTAATTACTCATTGTTGTTATAATTATCAAAATAAAAAAATCTCATAATACATCTTTTAATGATATATTTCAAGTTGAATACAACACTAGTCAGACATTTTCTGACCTTTTATGATAATTATTTTGAGTTTCTTACGTAAATTTATGGGACACTATTATAAATTTGATGTAAATTTATGTCAAATTAAAAAGTTTATTCAATAAAAAAATTACAACAAAATGATTATTTTTTAACATGTTTTAGTTTAGCATGTTATATATCAAATGATTGATTTTAATAAAAGAGAAAGAGAGAAAAAAAGAGTGAGAATGGAAGAGATTTAGTTATGCATCATGTTATCCTTAGGATTTGAATACTCTTAAATTTGTTCAAAACTTAATCTTTTCCGTGTGTAAGATATATAATTTTATCTTTTAAGATATATCTTATAAGATTATAGGATTTAAAGAAAAAATGTATTTAAATTATTCTTTATATAGACTTTTAAATGATGTTGCATGTGGGATTATTAGACGTATAAAAACATCTTATTTCTTTTCGTCTGATAGGACTTATTCCCTACTTCCATAGAAGCTCTCCTTTCAACTCTGCTTCCTCTGCATTCGCGTAGGTTTCTTCATATTTTGTTTTCTAAACTTTGGAATTTCCATTGCTTGCAAAAGGAGTGGTTGGCTGTTCGGTGACATTTCTTTATTTCAGATACATTCATAGCCTCATTTCTTCCATATTTCTTCTATTTTTCTAAAATTTAACTTCAAAAGGATAGATGGGTTGTCCCTTGCTTTTTAGTCTAAAGGATTGGATTTATTCATTTCATGGAATTTCACATTCTCAGCTATAAAGTCATGGCTCTTACCTAGAGAGAATTGACACTTGAAGATTTTATAACAAACCATCATCCAAATGGGTCACTTTCAACCCATTACAGTGAGCAAGTAGACTTTGAAATTGATCAACTTATTGAGTGGATTGACATAACATAACACACAAATAACTCCAAAATTCAGTGGTCAACATTATATTGTGAAACCAAGAGTAAATTAATTATGGGCTACTCCGCCGAACCAAGGAACATTCTGATTCATCTAATTGATCCAAATATAGTATTAACAAATGTTCCACAGCGTTCAGGAAAAACCATGAAGCTAGGAAATGTGTAGGCTTAGGTGACTACAATAAGAGTTCCATATTCTTAGAGAAGTCAACAGCTTTTATTTAGGTACCAAAAGCAAAGCTTCTTCATCTAAAAAGTTGTTGAGAATATTTTTATCAACTAACCTCTGTAAAGTTGGGGAGATCAGAGTATCTGGCAGAGAAACATATATTTATTTGAATAGCAATGATTGGTTTGTTGGAGATGGGTTTGGTTTTGTTGGTGAGTGTGGGAAAGAACAAAGGTTTTGGTTGAAGTGATTGAAGACTTTAGATTTTGGGAATTAAATCGTACGGTAGAGAGGAAAACGTGAAAGCCGAATATCCAAGTTTGAAAGCGTACACAGCTGCCATCTTATGCCGGTGCTCAGTTGCTCCCACAACAACATCTTCATTCATGCTTTTTCTCAAAAATCTGCACTGCAATTAAAACCAACATCCATTTCTGTGTACGTTTCAACTGTCAAAACAAAAAACATTCCTAAGAATAATGCCATCGTCATTACTATTTCTTACCTTAAAATGAGTTTTTTTATTTCATCTTTTTTTCATAAACTTTGGGTTTGAAATTTGAGCACAAAAGAGTTTAGCAGGCTGTCAGTGCCAGCTATACTAAGACTCCACCTTCCACTGTTAGAATAAAAGGAAAGCAAAAAGGAAATAAAGAAGTAGAATGATAAGATGAACATACAAATAAAAGAAAAAAGTACAGAAAAAAAATATGGATGGAATTTATTTAAACTTTTTGTTTGGTTTTGGCTTATGTCATGTTTAAATTTTGATTTGAGATTATAAAATATAGTTAACGAAAATTTAAAGTATTTAAAATTCGAGTCAAGACACAGAAATATGAATTTAATCAGAGTTGTCAATTTGTCGTGTTCCTTGTTTTGTTTTTATCTTCGAGTAGATAGATGAGTTCATTATATTTCCCACCAAAAAATATAAAATGATTGTGAACACGAGGGAATCCCTTTTATAATAAAACATATAACTAACAGAAAGTTATATAATATATTTAATTTTGTTTATTTTCTTTGGAATATAAAACTCTAGAGATTTATTTTTCAATCTAAAGTCTACTTACCAACTAGAGAAGTTTAAGAAAAGTATAGAAGAAGTTAGTATTTTTTTATTCCTTTTCTTTTAGAAAATCATAAGTTTAAACAAAATTTCATATATCTTGTATTTATTTATCTTAACCTTTTAATTAATTAAATAATTTTAACAATTTTCTGAAAAATATTTCAGACTTTAACTTCTTCCAAGAATTTATCCTTTTGAACAACAAATATATACTTATAACATAATATTATATCCAAATCTTGACCTATATTATGAAAAATAGAAAAAATAAAAATGAAAACTAACTTTTTCTACTCTAAATGTGATGTATAAATGATGTATAGTACAACATAAAAATTATTTCATCAATTTCTTTTCTTATTGTTAAATTTAATAAAATTTAATGTAAGAGTCATGTTAGATTCATTAAATTAATATCATTTAAATAATTCTATTGATAAACATGAACTAATTTAGTCCCCTCTGTATATATCTATATCTATCTCTGTATAAACAATGTTTTCGACATATTTAAACATCGAAGTATATTCAAAGACATTAAACTTTTGCATTAGAAAAAAAGGAAAGTACAATAATTGGAGGTCTTTAGAATTTAATTAAGAAGGGTTTTATACGTTGGATACTTTATTTATTATTTTCCTTACGAGGCAAATGAAAATTTTTCTATAAATATTTTTTGAATTTGAAAAACATTTCTTTACATCTTCGATTAAAATACCCTCTACTCCTGTATAGTTCAAAGGAGAATATTATTATAAACAACATGAGCCGTATATATTAGCCAAAAAGAAAAATAAAATTATCTTTTGACACAATATAAAATTTTGACCAAACTAAACAATGTCAAAATATGATTTGTAACAAACTAAGTTATATGAAAAATAATATAATAATTTGACATCGCCAATAAAAAAATATTAAATTTGATAACAAACAATCCTTGCACTTCGTGACCACCTTAAACCTTTTGGCAATTCTGAATATATCAAGCGATAAAAAATATATGAAATTCAAATAGAAATAATATTGAAGTAACCGAGAAAAGAAGAATTATTATAAAAATAAAATCAAAATAGGAATTAAATTCGCTTCCTTTTGTGGTCACGTATTGAATTGGTAAAAAAAATTAATAAGATAAGTATTATATATAATATATATTAATTTTATTGTCTACACTGATATTTCTTAACCATAGGTGCAGATTCCTTTCAAGAGATAAGAAAAAAATAGAAAAAAAATCAAGAAATCACGAAACTGGAGTCTTGTTTCTTCAAAAAATTCTCATCGTAATTAACAAAAGTAAATGCTGGCAACAGTATTTAGTAACTCAAATTATCTATCGGATAGCTTAACCTACAGGCTCTAATATTTTTCATAATAAATTAAATACCCCTAAGCAAGCTAGTGGACAAGACAAATATTCTTAAAGAAAAAACAAAAGAAGTATGAGACAATTTTAATTAATGAACAGGTGAATATTGATGAAAATCATAAATAGGGTGATATTCAAGTATTTCTAAGACACTACTAATGGTTGTCAACAAACATGGTCGAATCACATTACATATAATAAGCGCTATTATGATTATAATAAATTAATGGAAAAGAATAATGTTTATGTTTATAAAATGAAAATAATATGTTGTATTTCGAATTAAAAATAATTAAATAAATTAACAGTTAATATAAAGAGCAACAAATTTAATTAATTCAAATATACTAAGAACATAATATAAAACTACAACACTATTTACGTTAGAAATAACTAAAAATAGGGAAAAAACAGAATGATAACTCTTCCAACATATATACTCAATCCAAATTCATTCTTGATTAATTAACAAAGTCGTCATACAAACTTTGATTAAAGATACTAAGTATAACATCATGAATATATAAGCTCATTTGTTAAGCCCAAACTAAAGAGTAAAGGATGTTACTTCCTCCACCACCACCCCTTCTCCCTCCACCTCCCCACAAATTTTGTAATTGACAAAAATTGTCTTTTAGTTTTAACCTTTTACTTTTCATTTTAGTTATTTAACAAACCGTACATCTCTCAATGTTACCTCTGCGTATAGCCCCCATCTACGCTTTCTCTTATCTTTCTTGTGAGATTCGTTGTTTCTTCTTCCCACCTCCATCACACTCTTTTCTTTTTTTCGATGAGAATTTCTCA